TGGGCAGCCAGTAAGGGTGAGGCGTACAGTTGAACTGTCGAATATTCATGACATTGCTCTCATACTTGAGTACGGCGGCTTTGTTATTATAGACGTCGAGGTAATTGGGTGCGGAAAATATTGTCATAACAGAAGGGAATCCAGTCGTCTTCGTTTTGCGATACATGCGATATCTATGTCACATTGTCAGCAAATGATCTATTGGAAATTACACGGAATGCCTAAGACTCACCCCGCGTCCTGCGCTTCATGGGCTCGTATGATAGACAATAAATTGTTGCGTTCGAGGAACTGGCAGGCTGCTTGGTATGTGAAGAAGTAAGAACAACCCCTGACGTGGTTGTGGACAAAATTATCCAAAGTCTTCTCCTGGCCAAATTCCTCGACAGGATCTGCCCACAGGATATCGCACATTAAACCATGTGTTGGCGGTTCCCTGAATCGGTCGATCTGCCGAGAGAAAATCAATGAAAGAAAATGGTGCTTGTGAGAAGAATTCGCACCGCGCGAATGTCATCGATAGTACTCAGCTCCGGGGAAAGACCGCCATGTATACACAGGAACTGTTTATTCATGATGGCGGCGAGAGGCAGACAACAAAAGGATTCCATGCAAGCATCGTATATACGCTCACTGTATTTGTGTTTGCCTGTTCGAAGCGTTAGCACCGCTGACGATGATGTCAGATGTTCCGCGCACATTCGAGCTTGAAGGTGAAGTAGTCCGTTAAATGCCTGCATTCGTGGTTGCCGCGAAGTAGGTACAAAGTATCCGGATACCATATCTTCAGTGCCCAAAGGTACAAAACACACTGCGATAGACTTGAATACTGGTCACTAAACTGCATGTGCTATACATACCTCGATGGAAAAATAACCACGATCGACGTAATCGCCAAGAAAGAGATAGCGAGTGTCGCTGGGATTCCCGCCTACCTCAAAGAGTTTCATGAGGTCGTACTAAATACCACGATGAATCCGAGAAACTTTTCAGACGCGCAAGAACATACGTATTGGCCGTGAATATCACCGCATACTGCGAGGCACCCTTGAGCTTGTATGTCATGACCTGTAATGGAGCGGAGATATACGTACCGGTGATAGGTGCATCCACCGTCAAGACGTTTGGTTCGGCGCGCAGAAGCGCGGTACCGCGCTCAAGAATCCAGAAAGCCTGTGCCTCCGTCAAACGGCCTTCGCGGTAAAAATGATTCTTGAGGAACGCGATGTCGGGCTTGGTGCGATCGGCACCCCCATTGGCAAAGAACTGAGCATCAGTTGGAACGTGCATGGCGGGCGCCTGAACATCCTTGATCACACGCTCTTGCGTGCTGACGATATTGCCGTCTTCAAGGACGTGCTGGGTAAAGTCGATGTCGGGGATGGGGACTTTGTCGGCGATTTGGCCAATGGCCCGCTCAACCTGGGTCGCCATCGTTGGGGTCGATGGACTCGACAGATAACAATGAAGCGACGCGGCAAGGTATGATGAGGACCGAAGAGAAGGCTATGTATTGATGATGGCGGAAGGCAAGTGACAGGTGATCTCCTGCGGCTTTTTGTTTGGATTTATGTACCTTTTTTTCACTCTTGTTACTCAACATCATTTCCTTTTTTTTTTTCAGCAAAGTCTTACAGTGAATCTTGTCGAACAGAACCCTTCCTTTTAGCGTCTCAGTGCTTATACACGTTGCCTGTAACGGCAGCGAGTCCACGCTAGCGCTTGTACTGCTTCGCCACAGGTACTTCGACTTCAGTTGCTTTGCTTGGAATCCAGCTGGCTTGGTTAAATTTGAAAGGTATTTTGAATTGCCCAGAAATTCAAGATCTGCTTTGTGGCTATCGCCAAGTCTACCTAAACCATTGTCACTTGCCTGTCAGAAGTGCACCGTCTGAGCATATAATGTCATCGGTTGGCTGTTGCGCTGCGCACTATTCAAGATTGCAGAACATTCATGCAATGCCATAAGCAGAAGATTTCCTGTACAGCAACTTCCTGCGGCTGGATCATAATTCATTCAAGCCAATGCTGACCTCGCCGACTCAGAATGCAGGTGGGTGAAATGAAAACAGCACTGTGAGGTGCTTGTGATTCACCTCTTTTTCTGATTTTTTTTGTGTCTAGTGATTCCATTTTCAAGGATCCCAAGATGCTATTTTTGGCGTTTAAACTCCCCCGTTTGTATTGGGTGAGTGCTTGAGTTCTCACAGCTTCGTGGAGTCACGAGTGTTGCATGCCGCCCAGCACTTGAACGAGGTGTTACTTGGGCCGATTGCTGAGGCTGGCTTATTCTTCAGGCCGAAGACCTTTACGACATGCTGATTTGCACTTCTCGATTCCTTTGCTTTTACTCGTAACTATAGTTGTTTAGATCAGCGAAGCGATTCCCTAAACGGGAAGTTCGTAGTGTTTCCAATCTTGGGTCCTACTCTCTTTGATCGCCGATCAATACATGATAGACGCCGTCTCGCCTGCGAGAAACTTCTCACGTGAGCTACAAAATCTTGTCGTTATGTTACAAGTAGGCAGTTCATGTTGTTCCTCTTTCTTGTGGTCATCGCCAGAATAACATTGACATCGATTACTTGTAGTGACGTTCCTTGAAGTCGTGTTCTTCGTTAAGAGCCCTCGATTTAGCTTTCATCGACAAAGATCGGAGAGGAATTGTACGGACGTCAGGGTAGCGGTTTGGCGATTTGTATCCTAAAACGTAGAACGAAATGTCTTTCAATTATAGTCCAGAAAGTGCATTTATTTCCATTTGTCAGTTCTACGGTTCGGAGTCCAGGCATGTATTGTTGCATTTCAGCCTCCGGACCTTCCGGCGATGGAAGGGCCGCCAGGTGGTGATGGTATCATGATGGGTGACGGTTGAGACGGCTCCATCCGCCTCTTAGCCAGAGCCACATTGAGGCAGGACAATTGGCTGCCATACAGCTCGAGCCCGATTTTCATCAGCGCAAACGCCGGCGACAACGTCCAGCAGCCGCGCGTGAGGCGAACGAGGTGAGTGTCCCATGCAGCACGCTTGTGAAGTCTCCTCATTTTCTGATGGTTGTAGTGGACTTTATATCGTCATGTATCTGCGCGTTGTACTGGAATTCGTTATGCTCCCACTTGTTTACGCTGTCAGTGTCACGTCCCATGACCACCTTCTCCGCAGAGCAACAACTGTGTCTTCGACACCCACGGCAATCGCCACGACATCGACCTCGTCGTCCAGTAAACTGTCTGCCGGAGCCATCACTGGCGTGGTTGTGGGTGTCATCTGTTTCATCATCATCTTGCTGGTAGCCGGCTCTCTCTTCCTCCTGCGCCGTTCAAATGCCCGCCAGCATGCATCCAGTATATTCGTAGACGAACCTAAGAGTGGACGTGCTCGGGTCCAGGGAAGTGGCAATTATGGCGGCCTGGCCTCCGTTGACAACAGATTCTCGTTTCTTTCGAGCAAGGGAGCTTCTGAGTTTACGAACGGACTCCCAGTCAACGTGCCACGTCGCGCACGCAGCTCGAACTCCAGTGGATCATCTGTAACTGCGACTGACACTACGAAGTGCATGGACGACAACAAGTCCATTTCGCGCCTGTCAGACACCGAGAGCAAATTCGCATACCGTTCGTCATTCACCGATTCGTCTGTAGTAGAATATCCTGCGGTGCCACCTGCGGTACATCATGCGCATCGGGTTTCGTACCCACCTGCTTCAAGTGCCGGCGAGACTCTTCCGGCGGCTGTAACTGGCCGTGTGTCAATCGCAATCGGCACGCCTACGTCAGGAAGTGCGCGCTCGCATCCCCGCTCTTTACGCAAGCCTGTACCGGCGTACGAGCTCCCCGACGACCTTCCCGTACTGGCGACGCCCGTGTCCAGTGACATTACCGTACCCCCACGCAAGTCTGTCGAGTTGCTTGCGTCGCCACGTGTGGACACGCCAGTGTCAGTGTCTGGAACAGATGCATCGGAGACACCCTCGCGTCGCGCAAGCTCCGCCCTCCTGCGCTCAGACAGTGCTACGCTTCCGCGCACAGATAGTGTTGGATTCCTCCACACAGACAGCCCCGCTGCGTCGCCCACCTCATCGACACTTGGCCATTTCTCTCAGACCTCTGAGGAAGCTTCCAGGAAACGAGCCTCGACTTCATCAAAGAGCAAAAAGGCGAAGCGCGGGAGCGGTGGACACTACTACGTAGGCGGCGACCCGATGCTTAAGGCGAAGAATAGCTGGGACACGCGTCCCGTGCATTATATCATTCCCGACATGCCCTTGTCGGTCCAGGACTAGGTGTCTCTGCCGCACACCTGGCTTGCAGGAATCAATTAGTTGGTCTTATGTTAAAGGTCTAGTGGGGCTTGCGCGTTCGACAAAGCTACTTTGTCAACCGTACTGACAGTTTTCGGAATTGGGCACCGGGTTTTCATCTGCTTCAAGTTTACTCACCTATCCCGGGCTGCGACGTAGTTCAAAGCTATTTTGCACCGTCCCTGAACGTTATTTCCTTATCTTATTGCTAATCGTATGTTGCGGAGCATCCCGCGCCGCAAAAACGAGTAGCTTCCGATGTCTCCCAATCATTGTCCTACATCCTACCCTTCTGACTATGTTTCTTGATGTTCTTCCCTTGGATTGTCTTGTGATGTCTGGCGACATCGTGAATAATCGCACTTTTGTTACGCACCGGCCCACCCCTTATATTTATTTGAACTGCATGCTCACTCCTTGCTATCCTCTCGACCCACCAGCGTTGATTTTGACTAAAACGCAGAAAATCCCGGTCTTCGTGCTTCCTCGAAATGTCGTGTCCTTTTCCTTCCTGTGCTATGACGTCTTCACTTTCCATACGCTTACATCCAACCCATTCATGCCATGTATATATATTGCTATCGTACGTACCTGCCACGTTGTGTAATGCCGATCATCTTTATCATGCAAAAACACGGTGTGGGTGTTTAACGTGGGATATCCTGATGCAGTGCAAAAGAATCGTATCGACACGAAAAATGGACCAACTGAGGATTGAACTCAGGACCTTCTGTGTGTAAGACAGACACCATAACCACTAGGCCATTGGTCCATTGTTCTGCTCATGCTAGTGTACATATACATAATGTATGTTTGCTAATTTGAACTCATTATGGCAATGACGCGTCGCGCATGAGTTTTTTGAACTCGTCCTTGTCCTCGTCGTCTCAAATAATGGCTGTCGATGTCTTGTCCCCCGCTTTAGCTGCAGGTCGTCTAAATTCGTATTATCAGGCGAAGATAGAAGCTGCCGAACTGCTTATCAACCAGAAAACACAGAACTTACGACGTCTGGAAGCACAACGAAATGCACTGAATGCACGCGGTATGGAGGTGCAGCATTAGGAATGTCATCCATCTCTAATTCGTATGCATCATTTTAGTGCGGTTACTTCGCGAGGAGTTGCAGCTATTACATGAGCCAGGCAGTTATGTGGGGGAGGTGGTAAAGGTCATGGGCAAGAACAAGGTTCTTGTCAAGGTACAGCCGGAGGGAAAGTACAGTGAGTGGTTCTCATCTCCTGCAGTAGAATTTTTATTCACCTGGGATCGTGTGCTTTTAGTCGTGGACATCGATTCTGACATCGATATCAACGCTTTGACGCCGACATTCCGTGTGGCGCTTCGCTCGGACTCGTACACAATACACAAAATCTTACCCAACAAAGTGGATCCTCTGGTGTCGTTGATGATGGTTGAGAAGGTGCCGGATAGCACATACGAGATGGTCGGTGGCCTCGACAAGCAGATCAAGGAAATCAAGGAGGTCATTGAGCTGCCTGTGAAGCACCCAGAGCTCTTCGAAGCGCTCGGTATTGCGCAACCGAAAGGCGTGCTGCTGTATGGGCCGCCAGGTACAGGAAAGACCCTCCTCGCGCGTGCCGTCGCGCATCATACGGACTGCAAGTTCATCCGGGTCAGCGGCAGCGAGCTCGTGCAGAAGTACATCGGCGAGGGTTCACGCATGGTGCGCGAGCTGTTCGTCATGGCGCGCGAGCACGCGCCAAGCATCATTTTCATGGACGAGATCGATTCCATCGGTTCATCTCGTGGTGAAAGCGGCAGCGGCGGTGGCGATTCAGAAGTCCAGCGTACAATGCTTGAACTGCTGAACCAGCTTGACGGTTTTGAGTCCACGAAGGACATCAAAGTCATAATGGCCACAAATCGTATCGGTGCGTCCGACTCCCCTATCGTTTTTAACGGTTGTCACTCCGATATTGAAACATGGGACACAGATATTCTTGATGTTGCTTTGCTACGACCCGGACGAATTGATCGTAAGATCGAGTTTCCGCCGCCAGGTCCTGAAGCGCGTGTTGCAATTCTTCGTATCCATTCGCGAAAGGTACGTGGCTAATGTGCTCCTGTAAGGTCCCAGCAGAGATCATAAACTCACTTGTCACATCCAGATGTCTTTACAACGTGGAATTAACTTCCAGCTACTGGCAGAGAAGATGGGACAGTGCTCCGGCGCTGAGGTAAGGGGTATCTGCACGGAGGCGGGTAAGTGCTTTTGTGTTGTCTGCCATTACTCTCGCCTGATCGACTAATCTCCAGGTATGTACGCTCTGCGGGAGCGGAGACAGCATGTTACCCAGGAGGATTTCGAGTTTGCTGTGGCCAAGGTAGGTAGCCAGTGGCTTTTCTTTTTTATGTGTATCTTACATTTTTTGCAGGTTCTCAAAAAGAACCAGGAGGGAAACACGTCGGTCAGCAAGCTGTTCTCATAGTGTACGCGTCTCCTGTTTTCTGTATAGCATATCCCATTTCATCACTATTCCATATGAAATGTGCGTAAGGAACTGCATCAAAGTAAATTCTTAGGTGCACCAGGTCTCGACAATCGGCTGTATGGATGGACTATCGTATAACCAACTATGGCTTGACCTCGTTCTCCAGCTACGCGTGCTCTCCTGGACTTAACGGTTCATAGGATTTGCGTCGGTAGATTGATGGTGGATGCTCAGAGAATTCGGCAGGCACTCAAGATCGATGTTTTATCTGTTTTGCGACGCGTTTTTATCCCTTGAAAAGCTGCTTTCCGTTCCAAGGCCCTGTACGACGAGGGGCACGTCTATATGGAGACAGGGAAGTGATGATATACGTAGTCGGCTTAGGATTGTTCATGCTCAATGCACCCTGTAGTGCGATGCAAAATCGTGACGCGCACTCGCCGCAACTGGACCTCGACCAGGGCCTTTTCTTCATGATACCCAAGACAGCGTGTCTGCCCCTTCCCCACGGTGAGCATGTTCTGTCAGCCACGAGACCTTAAGGCTTACGGATCCATCATACCCCCCAGTGAATTTGGTGCATTGTCGTCGAGTCTGCCACGTTGGTTCATTGTCTCGACTCCCCACTGTGTCGGTCTGAAGAACCTACGCGATAGTGAACTGTCTATTTCTATTCATTACGATGAGCTGACACCTCAAGTAGGCGTCGTTCCCACACGGAGGACATGCTGACCATGAGGTAGTGCTCGGCGGCACAGAGTGTAAGTAGTGCCCCATGCAGCGTTCAGCTGTCGAGCAGCAGCGAGGTCTCGTGGAAGAGCAGACGGTCTATATATCATTCCGTCGTTATGTTGTCCATATGTACATATTGTACGCTTTCGCCCTTTGGACTCATGGCAAATCACGACACTGACTCGTCCGTTATCTAGAATTCCCATCCTTCCATATTCATCAACGCGCCGACTACTTAATCTTAATTCGGGCGGAGGGCATTGTTTTCCAAGTACTTGGGCTGATATAAAACTTCAAGCGCTTTATCCGATCGTCCTTATCCTGTTCAGATTGAAGCCATAGTGCGTGATATGCCCGTCACACGACGACGTACGGCAAGCGGTCTCACGCCCCTTCCGAGGGACCCGGCGATAGGCTTGACAGTCGGAACGACCAACACCAGTTTGCATGCCGTAGAGCTTGGTGGCAGGGATAGTGGATGGGATTGCGAATTTCACGTAAGCACGACACGCCCGGAAGGGATTATTGGGATTGATATGAAGTGAGCCAAATTTTCCTTTCTGGCATGCAGTGCAATGACGAGGCTCATAGGTCCATCTTATACGAACCGTCGTCGTGTCTGGGGAGTTTAAACTTTAAAGTATCGTACAACCCAAGCGAGGAATTCGTTGCCCGTCATATGATCTCGAGTACGTCGACTCACGCCGGCTATCCATACGCGTAAGCTTCGTACGTCCAAAGCAGTGTTCGACCCAACGCTACCATCTGGAGAATGTTGGACGGTCTTTAGCGCGTCCTTACGGTGCGTGGCCGCTGTTCACTACATCAGTCATTCTCGGGACTGTGACAGTCTTGACATGCTTCTGATCTACTGCATCAGCTGCTTGAGCATTCGCATAAAGCAGTTATGTTCTGACGCCGGACATGGATAATTCATAGCACACTGCCAGCGGCCCCCAATCATAGATAGCCCTTTGGCCGATCTATTATCGTATTGCAAACAAGTCATCTACCGACTCTTTTGTTCTCTCTCGCGTCGCTTAAATTGGGTTGTTCTCTTCATCTACTCTGGTTCCTCCATCTTCATCACAACGAAACTCTGCATGTGCCGCATTCTTCATTCTACGACATAGTTGTGTGCAAGTCTCCGCGCCTGTTCTGGGTCCATTGCCGTGGCGCTTCCCCATTCAATCTACCTCGCTCCAAGCGAAATTGAACTTAATTGTTTGTCCTCTTTCGAAGGTCTATGTTTCGCTTAGAGTCACACCACGCTACCTCAAGCACGGAGAGCCGCTTCTAGGGCCCTCCCACCTCGTACGTAGGTTACCAAAATTTGTGCCTTGCAAAGCCAAGATAACGCAACTACCTAGGTCTCCGGTGACTTGCTGACGAACGGATATTATCATTGTGCGTGTGACGAGTACTTATTGAATGCAATCTGTAACAGGTGGTGTGCTCATGCCAACGAGCAATTCGGGATAGGCCTGCGTCAGTGCGTCGTGCAATGGTTCGTCGGGTGGATGGGTAACTGACCTCGCAACGCGTGTGCCCAGTTGCCACTGACGGTCTTGCAGTGCGGGTATGCGGCTGACGTCCAAGGCACCGGAATGCAGCCGACGCCCCTCGCGGGTATGCAGACATCGACCGGTTGGTGGATTCGAGCGTCGTGCCGTTTTTTTTCAATTGTCGATCTGCCGATCGCACGCGATTCGTCCACGCTCAACCATCCCACGCATCCGTACGACTGATGTTTACGCTTAGGCATTCAGCAAAGTTTCGTTCGCCCTAATCCACAGCTTCGCAGCTCATCAGGCTTCTGATATCTTCAGGACTTCATCCGTGTTCCAGGTTCCATATGTTCAACGGGTCGTGCTTTTTTTTTCGTCCGGACTCGGAATCAACGCTTCCATAAGAGAAAAGCTGGAGACGACCTTGGGACGAATCTACATAGGACGCTTACGCTCCCGCACAAAACGGGGGGGTTATCCTGTGATCCTGAAACACCTTTCTCGTGCTACGCTCAAAAAAAAAGCAAGTTAATACACTTTTACGTCGCCTCCGGCATTCTGTCCAGGTTGTCGTTATGCATTGCCTAACTCTAGTGTTGGTCGTCCCGACGTCTTAGCCTTATTTAGTCAGTTCATACTGCGCACTTGAGTGTCGGTCTACCTGCCAGGCAGACAGCCGAAACATCAGGCCGCTAGCTCGCCTTTTTTTTTTCATTCATGTTTCTACGTACTGATTGAGCATCAGAACCTTTGCTTATCATTAGAGTCCATTCAAACTTCAATTCAACAAGGACGCACATTGATTGTGATCATTATACCATTCCGTTACTTATACCATTCCGTTACTCACGTCGAACGTGCTTCTGGTGTTTGGTCGTCGCCGTAGGGTAGCAGATCCAGGTCTATTTAAGAAGATGCCTTGAGTGGTCTCTTCCGGGAGCCCGCTATGTAGGCCTGGCGACACGAAATGACCCGTGACATGAAGGTAGATATTAGATAATACAAGAATCGCGCCCATGTGACCTTTGACTGTAGATACCGACTTCGGTGACCGAGCACCCTGGACTCCCTGACTC